GATGGGCGACGAGAGCGCCGAAGTGGTCGAAGACGCTCCCAAGATGGCCCCAGCATGTCCCCGAGGCCCCACGGCGGTCCCGAGATCGTCCGACACGGCCTCGGCACGGCTTCTGCCACACCTCCAGACAGTCGAGAAACACTGAAAAGCCAACGGGAAGAGGCCCAGCGGCTTGGTATATTGCTGATGTGCGCGGGGCTGCCCGCTGGGATCCCCAGAGGAAGAATACCCCAGGCAATCCCCGGCAAGGTCGGTCAGAAATGCAGAAAACTCTTGGGCGCGGGCTTCTGGAACCCCACGACAGCCCCAGGATCGTCTAAAGGAGCTCCAGGCGCCACGAGACGTCCCAAGTGCGCTCCAAGACGGCCCAAGATGGCCTCAAGACGGCCCAAGATGGCCTCAAGACGGCCCAAGAGGCCCCGAAGATGGCCCAAGATGGCCCCCCAAAGAGTCCCAACACGCAAAAATCGTTGATTGCACATTGGTGGTTCTATCACTGTAACGCTCTCGCTGTTCCGGGCTTCCGCCAGCCCAAGGCGGCCCAAAAGGCCCCCGAGATCGCCCCAAGACGACCCCAGAGGCCTCCAGGAGCCCCAAGACGGCCCAAGAAACTCAAGACGGCCCGAGAGGCCCCAAAGAGGGCCTCCGAGACCGGCAGCAGGCCCCCAGGAGCCCCTCCGAAGCCCTCAGGTGGCCCCAAGAAGCCCGAATAGACCCCCAAGAAGCCCCACAGAGGCGCCCAGGGACCCCGAAAAGGCCCCAGAAGCCTCAAGGAGGGCTCCAATTGGCCGGCCCAAGGGGCCAGAGGCGTGCTAAGATCTCCGGTAACTGGTTAACAATTCTTCTAGTTCGCGCGCGCGGGGCGGCCCCTGGGGGTCCCCCGGCGAAAAGTACCCCGACCGCAGCCCGGGAAGGTCTACTCAGAGATGGTTTTGAGGCCCTTTTTTCGACACCCCTCACGAGGATTGTGGCCTCCGAGGGGGGTGCACTCGACTACCCCGCCCCATGAGGCCCCCAAGAGCCCCCCAAGAGGCCCAAGTGGGCCCCAGGACACCGCCAAGGAGCCCCAAGAGACCCCCAAGAGGCCCCCAAGAGGCCCCTAGGAGGCCCCAAAGAGGCCCCCAAGAGGCTTCAACGAGGCCCCATAGAGCGCTCGAGGGCCGGCGGAATGAGCGAAGCGATTCAATAAGCCGCCAAGGGGGTACTCCAGATTTCGTAATAAAGGGAGGGGGGTCTCATTTCGGGGGGGGTCTCTTCCAGGCTATCTTGGAGGGCCTGGGGGGGTCTGGGGACGATGTTTTGGAGGGTTCTCCCACAGGGGAGGTCTGAAATGGCTTGTCTTGGAGGGTCCAGACCCCCTCCCTTTTATTACGAAATCTGGAGTATCCCAGAGGCATCACAAAAGTACCCGAGAGGCATCCAACACACCTCCGACACGCGAATCACGCACGGTGGCAGGATGCACTGTCGGAACCTCGTTGGGGGGCGTGGTCCGTTGAGCGTTACCTTACAACTACCCTGCCACTATTTCTCCCCCAAGCGAGGTTCCCGCAACAGGTCAAGGAGATGACCGTCACCGACCACTTCCAAAACCCCCGCGAGCACGCAGGCAAGTCCCAATGATGATACGATGCGGGCCGAGGGCCCTGGCTACGGACTGGGCGTCCGCTGCCCGAATGCCCCCAAATCAAACATGCCGTCGCACAGGAGACTTCCAGACGCCTGCGAGACCTCTCCGGAAGGCCTCCTGGGTTGTCTTAGGGGCATCTTGGGACCGTTTTGGGCTGAGTTGGCCTGCTCGTCGGACTCTCTTGGGCCGTCTTGGAACATCCCGAAACCCTCGCCGTGTTCAGCCGAACACCTGCAAACCGTTAAAAACACAGTGGAGTCGTACGATGTTTGTAGTCTCGGGATTTTGTGCTGCGCCTCCTCGAGCTCTCCTGGAGCCTCTTGTGACACTCTTGAGGCATCTCCGCGCTCGGATACCTTGGAGGCCGACCTGAAAGCTTATGTGAGCCATTTTGGGCCCTCTTGGCGCCCTCTGGAGCTGTCTTGGACGCTCCCGGGGGGTCCTTGGAGGCCCTCCCTTCTGAGGGGTCAAATTTAACAGTCGGAGCTACCTTGTTCCTCTCCGTTTCACTCTTTCAATTTCGCTTGCTGGTGTAAACACTTCTGAATGCCCTTTCGGGCTGTTGTCGGTGCCTCCTATGGGGCCCTCCTGAGGATTTGTTTGAGGTTGTCGGGCCCTCTTGGGTTGTCTTGCCCCCCCCCTCACATCCTCTGTTGTCTACGCTTCCCTATTCTTCCTCTTCATCCACCGAGCCTCCCCAAGCCTGCTCGCTGTCATCACACCTTCCCAGTAGCTTCAACAAAGCGACCAAGTTCGAAAAACGTGGGGCGGCGGTGTCTGCCCCCTCAGAGGAGTGCAGATGAACACCCAAGCATGAGAATCCCAGCGGCCGAACATGGAGAGGAACCTCGAGCATGATCTCTTCGCTCAGACAGACGTCTTATAGGAGGTATGCAGATGTCTGAAAAAAACGACTTCTATGCACGCTGCACTGGTGCCAAAATCCCCCTTCGAAAATCCACCCTCCTCTCCGTGACTGGGACCACCACCCCCTTCCCTAGCGAGACCCCGCCCCCCTCCCCATCCCCGCCCGCTCTCCCAACAGATGGAAACTGCATGGACTTCGTACCCCCACCCCCCTTCTCGCCGCCGGCAAACGACGCCGACATCGCCATCGTCTCGTCGTCGATCGGGCGGGACACGTCGTCGTCGTCGTTCGCCGTCGCCATCGCAACCGCCGTCGTTGTGTTGTCGTCGGAGAGTCGGTATGTTGGGCGGAACACAGCGTCCGTCGTTCGCCGACGCCATCGCAGTCGCCGTCGCTGCCGCCGCCGCAGCCGCCGTCGTCGTCGTCGCCGTCGCGGTCCTCCTCGTCGTCATCGTCGTCGCAGTCGCCCTCGTTGTCGTCATCGCTTGCCGGCGCCAGAGGGGTGGTCGGACACCCCCCACCCAGACTTCTGAAGGGGAGGGGTCCGACCCCCCCCCCACCCGAATTTCACCTCCGAGGTTCGAGGGGGGAGAGGGGTTACGACCCCACCGCACCAGGACTTCTGAGGGGGAGGGTCGCAACCCTCACCCTCTGACTTCCACCCAACGCAATCATAGAAGACACTCTCTGAGATGTCTCCAGAAACCCTTCGGGATCCCAGGTCCCCAGGAGCGCTCCCGCAACCTCTGGTCCGCAGGGGCTCCAAAAAGGTATCCAAAAAGGCCAGCCCAAAAAAACAGGATCTTGCGCAGAGGCGCCGTCATCATGGAAAAAGAGGAGGAGGAGGAGGAGGAGGAGAAGGAGAATGAGAGAAAAAAGGGGAG